TTACACTATCATCATACAAATGTGGTTAGCAGTTTTGGCTTATATGCATTATAAAGTAAATGAATTCTTAAAACTAAATTTTTTGGCCCAATTTCTGTGTGTTATTGTCTAAAAATTTCACCAGATTTTGTTCTTCAGCTTCTAGGGCATTTCTTACAAAAACATAATTTTAAAGTGGCATTCCGACTGAAGTTAGACAGACTGCTAAAAATACATTCCAAGTGAAAGATGCACTAACAAATACATGTTAGCCCAAAATTTATATTTAAAAATAGAAAACTACAAATTTAACATAATTTTTAATGCATTAGAATATTTAAAAGTATATAAATAATGTTATTAGTTTATAATCTGTTTCAAAAGATAAAACATATTTTATTGCCTTCTCTGATTATAGCAGTTTGATATAGTGAGACATTAATTTTCATTAAAAGTAAATGTGTATGCAGAACTAGGAAATAATTACAGGACAAATTTTGCTATTTCATGGACTTGAAATTATATTTTTTATACCTGATTTTCATAACAGTAATCAATGCTCTTTGCAAACTAGTACTGCAGTTGAAGTTATCTTATTTTTCTTTTCTTTCATTTAACTAAACTCAGTTGATTGCTGTCTTTTTCAGTGTGCATTGCTATAATATTAATTCAAAAATAATTTATTTTTAGCAAAACATTCTTCCCCTTTTTGACTTCTCGCTACTTCTGCCACCATTTTTGCTGACAACACCTGATTGCTCCTTTCTTCTCATGTGAGCCCAATTCTTCTGCAGATGTATGGATAGAAGTTGAACGTCATTGAACTTCATCAGTCCGTCACCGTGAATCAAAGTGAATTCGCTCGCTGATTGGAGAAATGCATACCCGCTGCATTGGAAACGCAGTAATGGAAATGGGCCTTTAGTCGCCTATCTCACAATACATTGCCAATAGCATATAGCAGAAGCTAGCAAAGCTTTATGATGATGCTGTGAGTTTGGAGGACTTCTGGATATCAGAATAAAAAAGTGCAACTTTCCAGTTAATGGAATTTGTAAAGAAGTAATATCAATCAACTAACAGAGGGCAAAATCTGTGGTATGGTTCCAAATCCGAATAATACTGCTACCAATAATGAAGAAAGTGGCAGAGAGTTCATTGAGAATGAAATATTATCAATTCACAACTTATTGGGAATCCTTGATGTAGAAATTACAGGACTTGGAAATTTGTAACTGAACAAGAAATTATGTCCATCTATAAAATTACAGACAGACCATTGGGGGAGGGGGAACTTTAACAACTTATGTCGAAAAAACGTTAAATAAAGCCAACCAAATAAATATTGCGTTTTTATTTTTATTTATTTATTTTGTAAATTGTGATACCCTTAAGGTCATAAAAGATTCATTATTTCATATTTTCAATTTTACAATTTCCAAGTGTCATCTTACTAGATGTCTAATTACATTATCTAAAATCCAAAAATTCCCAAATCCTCATGAGTCAGCATCTTGGACTTTGTACTATGTATGTTGTGTGCACATATATATATATACACACAATATATATATATATATATATATATATATATATTACATATATATATATATATATATATGTGTGTGTGTGTAAGAAAAATAATGAATATGTAAAAGATTAAATTAGCAACGTAAATTTCCCGTCTCAATTCTAAAAATAGTAACCTCTCTCTGCACTGCACCATTTCTAGATTAATCCATGTCATATGACTCTTACATAATTCTGGTGATGCAAATGGAACTAAAACTCAAGCAGCCAATAGTTAATATTACTAATGTTGGAGGCTCTCATTTTAAGATCGAGTGCATTTTTTTTTATATTATTATTATCATACATTTTTTTAAATTATGGAATGTATTAGAGCAGATCTCAAAGGCCAGTTACCTTATAAACAAGGAACAGAGGCCTTTATATGTAACTTGCCTAACAGATAGATATGTTTGTTTCGAAGTTTGGTAAAATCAGAAACTGCAAACGAGAGATAATAATGGTGAATCCATAAATTTCTCAAAACTATTGGCAGTGGTGATATAGGCAAAGCATATTTTGCTTCCCTTAAATAAAGCTAAGACTAATCTAAATAAAATTCATGCTTTATTCCATAAATTAAATTAAAATAAGCTAACACTGTAGCTTTCACTTTTAAAACCATTTGAAGGGAAAAAAACTAGCATAATGCTAACTCATAACACAAACATTCTGCGATACCGGTGTACATATACATAATACTCGGTCGATCTTGACGTCATCGGCCAATCAGCGGCAACCACATTAGCTTACCACGAATTAACCTCTGATCAAAATTTGCATAAGGAAAACTAAAGCCAACAAATGGCTCTCTTTTTCTCATGCAAATACAAAAACAAAACTTACACAGAATTACAGAAGTTCATAGTTCAATTCTGTTTACGAAAACACTTATTGTCTTTAAACACTGAAAACATCTAAACAAAACTTCCTTAAATTAACAGCAGTTGCGCTTTTGTAAATAATTCCGCAGTATTTAATTTACTGGTGATAAATTCAAGGTCAAACACTCCTCATTTACTAGTCTTGTAATAAAGTGATATTTCATGTCTATGTGCTTAGTCCGGCGATTTTCTATTGGCGATCTAGAAAAATCAATGGCAGACTTGTCATCACAAAATAGTTTACATTCTCTTAAATTAAACTTTAAAATTTCATCTTGCAGCACTTTTTTCATCTACATTAATTCCTTCGCTGCCTCCGATAAGGCGATATACTCCTCTTCCATGGTTGATAAACTTACACACTTTCGTTTAACAGTTTTCCAGATTTCCGGTACTGCATCTAAAGCCTCCCATGGACACGCAGTCATCCCTATTACTTGCATAATCAGCATCTGAATAACAATATAAATTTAGATGTTTAATCTTCGATAAGTTTAACTTATATAATTTAGTACTATTGAGATAACCAAGCAATTTCAACAATGCTTCCCGATGCTAATTCCAGGATTCTCCTGAAATTGTGATAAGATATTCACTGCATATGTAATATCAGGCCTTGTCCTGTTAGCTACAAAAACTAAACATCCCAACAGATTTCTAAAGGGTAATGTCTGCATTTCTGCACTTGTAGATGGACAATCTAATTTTGTAAGAATAGTACCTTTAGCTATGAGAAGTGAAGTTATTGGTACCAGGAAATATTTAAATTTTTCAAAAATTTCTCCGATATATTTTTGCTGATGTATAAAAACCCCATTCTCATTCTCTAAGAATTCAATTCCAAGTAACGTTTTAGTTTTGCCTAATACTTTAAGATCAAAAAACTTACTCAGCTGTGAAATTACTTTATCTATACTATATTGATCTTTACTAAAAATCACAATATCATCTACATATAACAAGAGAATTACATTTGAACTCTTATAAACACAATTACACCATTGTATTTTCTTAAAATGTAAATTTTCTAAAGTACTTTCAAATTCACAAAACCATTCACAGCCGCTTTGGTGTAGACCGTAAATGGCCTTGTGTAATAAACACACTTTATTTTCCTCTTCAATAAATCCCTCTGGTTGGGTCATATATATTTTTTCATTTAGGTTTGCATATAAATACGTGTTCTTTACATCTAACTGACAATTAGTCCATCCATATAAACATACCATGATAGTGAAAAATAAGTACTATTATATACTGACTATACAGCTAAACTTTCAGAATAATTTCTGATTTCACTAAGTGACACTTTGTAATATTTGCTTCTCTATGTACTGCATGTAACGGTGCATTTTTTTTGTTTAAAGTTGTGGTCACTTGTTTATATGAATACTGCAAAGCACATCAGGGCAAACATTTTTAAATACTTAGGCACAGTTTTAAATGGAAATGAAAAATAAATTTAATGCAGTAAGATTTATTTGACATTTATATGTACAAATTTACTGTGGAATATCATTTATAAGTTTACAAAAAATGGAAATTTTGAATTCTAGTAACCCTGGATGCCATAATGATGGCCCTGGGTTTGAATCCTGGAGAAGGTATAGATGTTTGTAAGTGTGCATTAGCTATGTTAGAAGAGGACATTTCCAAATACTGGCGAGCTTAAAATCCTTTTGAATGATTTGGTGGCAGAAGAGGGGTAGACTCTCGGACCATTCCGCAAAGTGCCCACCATCAAAATTGAGGTGGAACTGCACAGTTAGTGCGATGGCATTAAACCTGAATGACCTGAATAGCCAATGGTGAAATTCTGGTGTCTTGACTCATGAACTTTTTAACTGAGAAACTTCTGTATCTTAAATACTATAAAAGAAAAAAAGGCGGAATAACCTACAGTTCACAGAAAAACACTGCTCATATTTTTTTCTGTATTTTGTAAGTAATTTGGAGAATGAGTTTATTTGATTATGTAAACTAAATCTGCATTCAAAACAAGAAAACATTTAAAAACAGAAAGAGCAATGTTTTTGTTTATGGTAAACAGAAGATTAATGGCAATGCACAGTTATTTTTATGCTTTTCAAGGATTATTTAACAATATTTATATAGTCAGTTTATGTACCATTAAACTGCATACCGTAATAAAAAATTCTTAAATACTGTGGCATCATGTTTATGTACCATTAAACTGCATACCGTAATAAAAAATTCTTAAATACTGTGGCATCAAGTGTTTTTATTGGAAGCATTTTCCTTGCCCCATTTTGTGTTTCCTGTAGAAATTTGCTTTATTCTGATGGTCTGTGACAATAATTTTTCGATCATTCCACAGTAAACTAAGTAACCTTTCTTCTAGAAAGGCTCAGTTTATTCAAACATAGTTAAATGAGTGTAGATTTTTATATTTTCTACTGCTAGGTAATTCGAGTGGCATCTACTACATACAACTAAAAATAACTTTGTTTAATTCTGTTCAGCATGATTTATAAAGTGAAAAGATAAAATTCAAATGCAAAATCCTATCAAAGTTTTTACATATTGAAGTTACACAAATTACAGTACCTGGGGGGAAAGTAAAGGAAGTCTTATCAGTTCAAGAAGACCAGGTAAGTCTTTTTTTCTGTTTGGAAGATCGTAATTTATCCAAGCCATAAGAGATTCAAATGCTTTTTCTTCACTTGGAACATTGAGCATATCACTGCCTAATAACTTCTTTACACCATCAGCTGACAGTGTTAAATATTCTTCACATGAAATGACATCCATAAAATGATCCTGTAATAAATGTCAAATTTAGAAGGATATTAAGATTTAGAGAAGAGACACATCTTAGATTTAATGCCCTTCCTTTGAGTTGTCACCAAAGGAACTAGGGAGAGGAACTCTGGAGTGAAAGCAGTAAAGGGAACATTTTGCACCCGCATTGCTGCTGGTAAATATGGTTAGTGGTGCATGTTTGAAGTCTTGAAATTTAAAAAAAAAAAATAATTGTTCAAAGTCCGATTAAAATTCTTCATGAATGCAGTAAAAATATTTAATGTCCTATACAACTAACATTAGCACCATTCTATACGTCCATAGTATTATGGCCCACCAGCGGCCGAGCGGTAAAGCCGCTGAACACTGGTAGTTCGGTCCGAGGTTATAATCCCGCGAATGGGTTGGCTGCATGGGTGTTTTCATGGTTTTCCCCATGTGTAACCTGTATACGCACCAGTTTCCCTTAGAAAGACCTCCACGAAGGCATCCCTCCCCTTAGGCAGATAGCCCTCGAGGCTTTGCCATAATTACACACACACACCATAGTATTATGATTCAAAAACCCATACTGGCTAATAAATATAAAAACGTGTATATTTATTAATCCATTAAAATGAATTATGGATGGTTGAAATGCAGTTCAAGCACAGGATTGATACATTAGTAACAAATGATCAGATGCAAATAATCTGAAAATATGATGCACAAATAATACCTTAAAATAGATTACAATAACACAGTTTTATGTGTTTAAAACTTTTAATTAGTAACCTGATACTAACAGCGATAAACTGGGAACCAGTCAAAACTGACGATGCAGCTTGAATAGAAGTCTTTATATGTTTTAATAAATTATGAAAAGCAATTAAGCTTCTCTTTTTGTACTGCACTTCAAAAATCCACTATGCTTATAAATAAACAAAGCCCTATGTTTATTAATCAATTAAACATGAATTAATGGTTAAAATGCAGCTTCAGCAAGCGGTGCTATAAACAAAAAATCTAACATTTTATATGGTCTCTTCAGAAGGAAATTCCAATTATTAAAATATTCATTATGCGTTAATACATAAATATATAAAGTTCTAAATAATGGGCCGAGATATTCACCATTAAATTTATTGACTTTTCAATGACCATTACCAACTAAGATTAGGGAGTAACCACATATTAAAAGGTGCTCATTCAGGCAATTAATAATTCAATGATGAGCAAAATAACACTTAATAAATTTGTAGCTAACTGATGAAGAGATTAATTACTGATACCTATGAGAATTTCCTACATAAAATAGGGAAATATTATCATTTAATTTATTAAAGCATAAAGATTATTTTACATTTGAGGCTGCTTAATTTTACATCAAATATATAGTGAAAAAAAAATCACAAAATTGAAAGCTTGTAAAGAAGCACAGCAATAAAAAATGCACACTCTTTTCAGAACCAACATATTAAGAATTAAATTATGGGTGTTTAAAATATTATTGCAGTATAGAATTGGGCTGCGTATTGAAGAGTAGAGGTTAGGAAAAATAGAAGTCTATTTACAATTGAAAGTTTTCGTTTATGGGTACCATATAAAAAGTTATGCCTAATACAAGCAAATTACACTATATGAAGGGACCAACTGCTTGGTTAGTTACATCCAACCCAATAAGAAAAATGACAAAAAGGGTAAAAACTGAAAAGGTTACGAGATAAAAAAAAGTTTACTACAGTTCAGTTATAATTAATACATGTTTTTGTTCTTTTATAATTTCACTATACATTAAATTCATGTACATTTCATCATACATTAATTTTACATGATAAATTATTTAACATAAAAATAATGGTTTAGACCTTTTCCTAAAATACATATCTGCCGCTAAAATACACATTTATAATTATAAATAATTATTTTATCACCACTTTTACATAATGCATAAAAAAAATTCAAGAGGGATGCACACTGCAGGAAAATTTCATTCACGTTTTCCAAAAACTGAAAAGATTCCATCACTTTCAGTTCCACATTTTGCATGAATAAAACTAATTAAGTACTATTACAAAGCAAACCAATAAGGCAAAAACAGATCTTTTTACAAAAAGACAAAACACCTTGGCAGCTCCATACTCATAAAAATCTACCCATTCTTTATTCTTCCCTTGAATAGTATAAGTTTGAAAATTCCCATTCATAGCACCAGCCTTGAAAAGAGTTATCTCAGTCAGAGAACAGGAATCAATCTGAGAACCCATTCACATTATTTAACTCAATAGTTACTGTGTGACACAATTTACAGTCTCTTAATATACACCCATTTTATGTCAGGTTTTCAGAATTAGGTGTTACAATTGCCTTGCATAGCCTTTATTTAGAACACACAGAAAGATGATGGTGGTGATGGTATTGGATTTTATGGCACACAACGTGAAGAAATTATAAGCACCAAACACATGTTAATTACTTCCACACACAGGTTTAGAACAGTAGCAGATTTATAAAATTAAATTCGGTCAAAAGATGATGAATGCTGAGATAAAGAGCTACACAAAATCTCAGATAATAATATAACATGTGAAACAGGAGTAATATAAAAATGGGAAAAAAAATTAGATACATTAAAATACCCAGAAGTAACATCAAAAGAAAATCATATTCAATAATAAAATTCTGTCTCTTTCAAGCACTTTACTAAATTGCTATTGATCTCTTTCCTGATTATACAGTCAAGAAGCAAGTCACAATCATTAAAATATCGGGTTTTAATGGAAGTTTCCTGCCACTGCAAATATTGTCTGCACAAACAGTTCGCTTTGGTGTGTTTAATCATATTTTGTCAAATGATTTTTGGCATTTGAAAGAAAGAGACTTGCTTTAGAACAATGTCTTCTGAAATTTGTAAAAAATATCATTGCCATTAAGTACAAAATGTTTGAAATGGCCATCACACAACCAGATTAGAATCATCACCCATCATTTACTTCCAGCTCTGTTGCAAAACGACAGCTACAGAATGTCATCAAATCATGTGTACAGCTTTAGATACTAATATTGTATCTATGACACTGTGAAGGTTTGGTACCGAAAGTTAAAAAACAATGACTATGACATTCAAGAAGCACAGCGCTCTGGCCAGCCTAATGATGTTGATGTGGCCCTCCTGTAAGAACTTGTGGAAGAAGATCAGTATGCAACCACTTGAGAGCTTGCTAAGGAGTTAGACATTAGTGCGATGTCCATTAGTCATGCTACATATCACGTAAGCTAGACATACAAGTTCAATCGCATGAACTGACTCAAGCAGATAAGGACAGAAGTATTCGGGGCTGCACTAATCTGCTCAAATATCATCACAAGGACAAAATTCTGGACTGGATCATCACTTGTGATGAAAAGTGGATATTATTCCACAACACAGGCTGAAAAGGGGATTGGTGAACCCACTGGCACCATTCGAAAGTGTAATTTAACTAACAAAAAGATCATGGTTTGTATCTGATGGGGCTTGCCATGGTATTTATTATCCACAAAGAATATCTGAAAAAAGGTTAAACCCTTGACAGTAAGGCATACAGTGAGATGCTAGTCCGTGTTGATGCTGCTATCAAGGAAAAACATCAAACTGAGTTCTGGTCCAAAAAGGTAATGTTTCATCAAGATAATACAAGAAGACGTGTCTGCATTTACTGTCTGGATGGGCTCGAATGGGATCTTCTGCCCCATCCACCACAGAGCCCCGATATCGCTCCTTCAGACTTCTACTTTTTTCACACTTGCTGCTGCTATTTTGTATTCTGCCCAGAACATCCTACATGAGGTTGATCTATTTTTAGACTTGTGGTCACCAAGTTTCTGGGTGCAAGCTTTTGAAAAACTACCAAAACATTGGCAGAAAATCATAGATTTGGGTGGTGATTACTACCTGCACTAAAGGTGCTGCTTTTCATGATTTTTTTCTAACTTATAAAAAACGTTTTTTGGCAGAAAACTTTTGTTACAATCAAATATTTCAAGTGAAATCTGTTAAAATATGGACATTCAATAAAAAAGTGCTGCACTAACAGAAGGTATTCAAAAGATAATTGTGTGGACTTGAGAGTTGCCAATTACTAACATAATTTCTTCCCTTTGTTTTCTAATTAATTCTCAGTATTTCACGACAGGTTTCATGCTTTTAAGCTTGTTATTGAGTGAGCATCCCATAGTAGCTGCCACTTATTTAATACTTTCTCCTTCATGACCTGGTGAATATATCTAAGTGGAATAAGCTGGCTGCACAAATCAATGGCAAATTTAGCTGTGATGTCTTCCAGCGCATTTCCTTTGCTGGGAACACAGCAAAATTTGATAGCCACACATCCAGAAGTTTAACTTTAGAATTTCAACAACTACATGATTGTGAGTATTTAAAAGGATTCTAAAGCTTTCAATGCACTATACGAGTCTATATAAATTATGACCTTTTTTGGCATAATTTTGATAGGAACATAATATAATGCATAATATACAGCAGTTCAGATGTCAATACAACATGCATAATGCAAACGTCTACTTTCCTTGTGGTCACCAATTACTATTGCTATCCCAACATGACCAGCTGAAGATCCATCTGTACAGAGAAACATAGAAAGATAGGTGTGATAATAAAACAATAGTAACATAAAAGTGTCTTGTGATATTTGAATAGCCTAAATGTGAATAATTTTAAGGGTTAGTAATTTTTCACTTAAAACTAGCAGAAATTTTTGAAGAAATTATGAAAAATATAAAAATGTTTCAGTTGAAGATATTTATCAAGTTCATTATATCCAATTTTCATATGTCTGAAAGTTCACTACAGCTGTGTCAAATAATATCAAGGTATAGGAAATTGGATGGGACTAACTGTCAGATATAACCAATCATTATATATGGCAGTTCAATTATAAAATAGATTAACTATAGTGGAGTTTCACTATATTAACAGAATCTTACTAACCAGTGCTAAAACTGTTTCATTACCTTATTTTGAATAAACATTATTATCTTATTTTGAGAAACTTTATACTGGAAGTTTAACTTCAGTTTAGAATTAATTGAAATGTTTACAACCTAAATAAGTTCAAATTTAGTAAATTATATTTTAAACTTTATGGATTGACAAGGCCATCAATGTAATAAAGATCTTCATTCCCATTATTTTGAAAATGGTCATAATTACGTAATAATTATTGCAAGTTCCTACAGCCAGAAACATTTACTTGATACATGCAGTTGGCCGTTATTTCAGAGTAACGTTATTTTCAGAATAACGCACGACAGATCGACAAAAAGGTAGTTTACAATGTTCTGCTGGTTTTCAATCCTTCTGCATCTGTGCCTACTCTTTTTATTTAGAAATTTGCTAACTATATCTACAAATGAAAAATTTTTTAAAAAATAAATAAAAAGAGGAAATATTCGAAACAAATTTTTCTGAAAGTTACTGAATCACTAGAAAAGAATTATGTTCTTCCTAAAGATTATAAACTGCATAAATTGCATTACATGTAACTCTAAATGCATGTTTACATTCTGTATTATGCATTTAATGAAATATTTGCAATTTATTTAGAATTTAGCATGGAATATTTATTTACTGACCTGCATGTGAAAATACAGGGAAAAAAGTTTTAATTGATTAATGTTTTCAACATCACCATTAAAACTCTGAGAGGAGAATTCAAATATACATTTATAATTTCCGCAGTTTACAAAAGATTTCTCACATGATGTTACCTTGAGTTTATGTGTTAATGTGAATATGTTAACCCATCCAATCTCTTTCTAAGAGTAGATCATCTATGTTTTCATGCAAATGCTACACAAACTGATGTGAAAAGAAAATTGCTAATAAAGAATTATTTTCATTATTATAAAAATATATGTACTTTCAAAATTATGTAAATTATATGAAACTTGAAAGAGTAAAAATTAATGCAAAATTATTAACCTTTATAAATATATGTCCTAGTCAAAACTGCCATTTCAAATTATACAAAACACATAAAAATCGAAATAACTTTAAAGAGCTTACACTGACAAAAAATTGCACTCATCAAAACTTAATAAAAAATAGATAGAAAAATAAAGTTAGAAAAAGTGTTTTTAAGTCTTCTATGTTCAGATACTAAGTTTTACACAATTTGCAATTTAAGGAAAAATATAATCTTAATTACTCTAAAAATAGCAAAAATTTCAAAATATATACAAACTCTGTAAAAATGAATTATTACTAGTACACAAACAAATTATACAGAAAATTCAATCTCATATGCGATATATGGAAAGGAACATACTGTATATTCATATAAACTATAACACCAACATATTGAGCTATTTATACATGACTAAGTTCATCAGTAAAAATTTGTTGAAGGTAATAAAAATTCAAGATAATAAAAATACCAAAGATAATTCCATTATCCAGAATAAAAGCATAGTATGGTTCCAAATCACTAAAAACATGTCTGCCGATTACAGCAGCTTTCCCCGGAATTAATTATACTGAGAATAAAATATCGTATGGTTAACATTCATCCTTCTAACAGAGTAAATCTGGGCTCATGGAAACTTCTTATTGGGGATTTATCTACTACAACACAGCTCTAATACATGACAAACAATGGCTATAATATCTGCATTTTCAAGTTTTTGACATATAAAATATGTTCACTGAGGTCAGGCATTACTGAATATTAGGAGAAAATCTGGATCTACAGTCTCCAATAGAAACATAAAGCTTATGTATTTAGAACCTAATTTATATGCCTCTGGCTAACTACAGAACCTCTGTTGTAAAAATGCAATTAGGTGGGCCATTTAGCATGATCATATCCTAAATAAGCCAATCATTGAAAACTGGATCTTTCAGGAAGATTTGATAGGACATAGCCCATTTTAAGTTCTCTCCAGATACATGTACTAACATAAGTAATTAAGCTGAAACTTGACACATCAATGAATAGAATTTATGCCCAATAATTCAGGCTACATAGACAATATCATCTTAAGGACTATTCTATGGAAGAGGAAGGAAAACACAACAATGACTGCCTATTATTCAGGCCACTCTTGCACTGTTTTAATGCTATACAGTAAATTAATTAATTCTTGCACCAATGAGTACTCAAGTCAGAGCTGATTTACTATGCAGCTGCATGAAAATTTTGACTTACTGCATAGTTGTTTTCTTTAGACAGTTTACTTTGGCAGCAGCAGCAGCAATCACAAAATTGCCTTGACATGCCAAAACAGTAACATTTCAAATATTAAGAGATTGCTTTCGCATGCTTAAAAAATGATATTTCACAAATATTTAGTTTCTGGAGACATCCAACCATGACTAATCAGCTTCACGTCTACCAATTACTAAGCATCACTGACATTTGTCTAAAATTTAGATAAATCCAGGACAAGATTTAGAATATAAATGATGTCTGAGACATACTTATCTAACAGATGATCATACTTCATTTGCCTACTCTGTCCTTAACTGCATATCCTAAGCACTAATTGAAAGACGACATGTGTGTTTTTAACTCCATGTGCAATTAGGGTGGTTTAAATTACTAGTATTCACTGTTACTTCCACAGAATGTTTAATTGATGATTTTGTACTGAACATCAATTTTCCAAGTTTACTTTTATTTGCATAAATCAGTGTAACTAAAAGACAATATGTAAATACCTCATTTAAAAATCAGTTTATCTGTTCCTCTCTGCGAAAAAATACTTAATAACTAATTTCCAAAAAAGAAAAGAAAAAAGAAAAGTACTTTCAATTAAAATAAAAACAGCCAAGGAGATAATATATTAGAGCATAACTTTACTTTTGATAATATAACACAACAAATTTTTAAAACAACATATGTAGAAAATACTTTTTTTTTAATGTCAGTTTACCACATGATTTTAATGAAATTAGAATTCCCATTATTAATGCTTATGTAGCAACTATAACTCACAAGTAAGAACAACTGCAATCACCTCTGTATCTCAGATTCAGGTCATTTCAACATAATACAGACACATACTAAAACAATTTCCACTGCAAGAACAGTTTGCTAAAATTACATTAAATATTTTAACATATTAAAGCTTCCAAGCCACTTCAACAAAACATTACAGTGAATGAAATAAACTTTTAAAAAATGCTATAACCTTGAAATGCATTCATAAAACATGAGATGTTGATTTTCCCATTAGTTTTCCCTAAAAAATTATATCAGACAACATAAAAAACAATAAAATGTATAATTTTCTTTCAAGATGCCTAGCTACTACATGCAGTATTAAAACTTTAAAATTTTTAATTAAGGCAGCTATTAATCTAAATTCAAAATTTTATACAACAGCACTGCTGATAATTTATTCAATTTAAATTACAGAACAGTATAAAATATTTAAGTACACAAACAATCAAGTGTTAGTTAGGAAGTCAAAAAGAATAAATAAGGTAATTATATTTATGTTCTGTATCATGATTATCATTAAGTCAGTTACCATGATATAGTTGTGAGCAACTTGATATAATTCCATGCAACCCTGAGATTCAGAAAACAGAGCAAATCCAATGCAGTTGGATGGATGCAGACAAGAAATTAGAAAATGACAGCATGCATTTACTACATCAGCTATTTGCAGTACATTAGCAGTAGATAACAGAGTTTCTACATTATCTTCATTAATGTCAATTTTGCCTGAAAGGAATAAAATGGTGTCAAGCTTTAAAAACGTTTCTTTTACAACACATTAGTGAAGTAAATGAACCTCATTAATACAAACTGCAGGCATATTTTCACTGTACCTGAATATTCATATTAACAGCTACTTTTATCACATAAAGCAAATTAGTAAGTGTAGAGCAACTGATATAAATCTCACCATAAACACTAAATGTAAACTAGAACCCAATGAATTTCATTTTAGAGAGATACATAGCAATACAGCATCAGCTACTAAAGAATTTTGCACTAAGCATCAATAGATCATGCATGGAATATCAGTAGCAAAATTATTTGAATGATGAAAGGATATTAAAAAGGGGTGACAGTAAATATTATACAATACAAAGTCCGAAATCCGGACGTCCATTATCTGGAATGATCTAAAATATGGACTTCAAAGCGACAATCGTTTTTCTTTTTGGTATGCTTTTTTTGCATGCACATTTTATTTTTTCCTTCCATAATAAAACATGTGGAGAATTTCACTTGAAAATTCCGATTCTTAATTTCACTTAGGCACTAAATAAAATACCTCGTTATGGAAAAACAATCATGTAAGAATAAATTTGTGAGATTAATAATTTGGCTCCATAGCTGAGTATCTGCTTGGCATACATCTCAAACGTTCCGTTTACCGCTGTTCGCCGTGCTTACAGAAACATTCACCTATTTTATATCCCTGACGCCAACCTGACGAGTCATTATTTATTATATTTTGCTTTCATCACAGCATGTTTATCAATACATGACAGCTTCAGTAACAACTCATGCAGTGATGTCTAAATTTTTTTTTATATTAGTAATCAAATAACAAGAGTATGGCAACCTTTTATGCTAACATTACGCTAGGCAATGATTATAGATTTTTAAATGCTCTAAGAAATGTTGATGACAAAAAATTCAACAAAAATGTCTTTTCATATACTAAAAATGGATTTTGTTAATGAAACTCATAGGCCAAAAGATTACATTTAGTGCTATTTTAATTAAGAATAGCTGATATGTTATTCACCATAAACCCAGAAGCGGCGGCAGAATTTAGGGAAGACGAAATTTTTGGAATTTAGGGAAGCACTGAGCGGCAAAATTAAGGGATGAGAAGTTTTTTATGATTTATGGAAAGCACTGGGATGCAAAGTTTAGGTGCGGTGAAAATTTAGAACTTAGGAAGGTGCTTCGTAACAGAATTTAGTACCCATAGAGACTGCACCATTCAGTATTTAGCGCCGGCCTTAGATAAAGCGTTAAGTATAAGTGGGAGTTTATTTATTCAGGATTCAGATTAGTTTTAAGCATGTGTAAGAAATAAATGTAGGTATAGTTAATAACTAAACTAATACAATTCAGGCTTAATTCAGTATGCAATAGGAGCAAGACAAAATTTAGCGAAACAATTTAGCATTCGTCACCAATCTTGTGATACACAGCCAATAATGTATAACGGACGCTAATAAGCTAGGCTAAAATTATCTTTACTCATTCTAAGGCATTTCAGTTAATGTAGCAGACTGTGCTGCTGCCTAATCTTTTAGTTTGATCCAGCTTATTATTTTTTACAGACAGTTATTATTATGGGAATTTTATAAAAACTAAGCTTGAACTTTCTATTATGTCAAAAAGAGTTTCAATTCTGGAGCTGCCAAAGAATCTACAAAGCGAAACCATGTTTAAATGTCCATTAATCAAAAAGTGAAATTGTTGGAAAAAATGGATAAAGGCATATCCATCTCAAAATTATGTGAGGAGTATGGCATTGGAAAGTCTATGTGACGTAAGAAAAAGGAGAACTTTTTGAATTTTTTGTGGAAGCAACTTGAACAACTCACATTGGAAGAAATGTTTAATAAAGTAAACAAATAAATATTAAGCTTTTTTTTTTTTTTTTTTTTTTTTTTTTTTTTTTGTAAATTTTGACACCCTTTAAATCATATTTGTTCTTTATTTCATAAATTACGATTTCATATTTTTAATTGTATAATTTCTGCATGCCATCTAATCAGATTTAAATTGATGATCTAATATCCTGAAAAATCCCAAATCCGGAATCGCCAAAGTCCCGTCGAGTCCGGATTTCGGACTTTGCACTGTACATCAGCATTAATGAGGTTCTATCATACCGATAAAATTGTTAATTTATTAAAAAATATTGGTGCCGAATCTGATGTTAAAAATTATAAAAGCACACATTTTATCATTCTTTCACTCTTCTTAATAAGCAGATTTTCAGTGCATTGTTTTATCCAAACCTTACATTTAGTCCTGGATGAGTCTAAATAATTGTAAAGTTCTAGATATATGTCTAATTTAGAGCATTACCTACCACGACAGTTACATACCTGATAAAACAAAATTGCATTGGATATTATGCTATTAGACTATGATATTATGATATTAGACTCAAAGAAAGTAGACATTATTAAATAAGCTAAAATAGAGTAAAAGTAAAAATATTTGAAAGAAATTTTAATTTTGTTAAAATTTTATTAAATTCCTTTCTTAAAAAGCCTGACAACTTTATAATAAAGATTAATTAAAGATAGAGCTTAATTCCAAAAATACAAATTTCATTTCATTTTGAAATAGCGATTCTGCCCATATAATCAGGCAAAACTTCAGCATGCCCTTATTATACTTTTTCAGACTTCCACTTTGTTTTAAATACATTTAACAAAAATTTGGGTCAAGAGCAAAAATTTAGGTCACAAAGCAATGCCACACTTCTTTTTATAATGGTTCTCAAACTGTGGCACATTTACCCTCCAAGGACATACTAGCAACATTCAGGAAGTAAGAGCAATTCTTAAAAAAAAGTTTAAAAAAAACATTTAATAATATTCTTTTACATTTCAGAAAAAACACCGATACTTTTTTTCCAAATGTTTTTTATATTGTTATCTATGCTTTTATGATGCCTTTCTAACAATATACCCAAGAAAAAATATTTCTTACCCATGACATAGAAAATAAAGATTTTAACAGACTAAATTGGAGCTGGACACATACTTAAAAGTTGGATAGGAAGTTAGATATAAGAAAGCTATTTCGAATTTATAGATATATCATTTCACCCAAGAAAGACAGCAATAAAAAACATTTGAGAATTGTAATCTCTCAACTCCAGAATTGAGATTTTGATAAAAGAAATTTCCCTTAGCAAGGTCCAGGACTAGTCCGGGGCAAGAGTCCGGGACAAGAGAGGCTGTTGCCTCAGATGAATGATGAAGAAAGATGTCAAATTAACTAAGAGAGGTAAAATAAATTTTTTTGTCTATAAAATATTATAATAACTGTCAAGATTTCAAGTTATCCTGGTTCAAGAAACATTAATTCAAATCACACATAACATCACAAAGGTAAATGAACATTACGAATCAGGTTTCAAAATTTCCAAGTTTATTCAAGTCTAACACGTATTCAACTGGCACTGCCAGATCCAAGAACAAGGAAGTATACATCATAAAAGATTTACGCCCTCTTTGGCGATTAAAATATATTTCCACATAAAATTTCTTATAGAGTCTTTGGCCGATTGCTCTAGAACTTATTAAGAGTTTTATTCAAGATCTATTATAAACATAGGTTTCTGTTTTGCCTAATTTTAAATAAGAAATAAAAAATTAAAAATTCATTAAAAGATAAATTAATGATTGTTAGTTATTGGCTCTAAAGCATATACCAAAGCACTGTTTTAAAATATCACCTTTGACATAGCAATATTAATCATACTATTGACAATAATTTGAAAGTACTCAGTCTTGACATTGCAGACTATAGCTTATAAATTAGTTCTCTCGCCTTCTTAGTGTGGTGTTCTGCATGCTGGGTGCGTATTCCAGAGGTCTGCGGTTTGATTCCTGGCGAAGGCGTTGCTAATTTTTCACCTCTCTTGCTTCTAAAAAATCCTAATGTCTCTACAGTGGCACCCGAACTGAAAGGGTGTTGGATGATGATTCTCATCAACCAGGATTTGGCGATTGGGTCCCCTAAAAACCCCAGCCACCCTTTAAAAGGGGGAGTATATAAGGTATTCCTGTTGCCTTCTTGGTCTGGTGGTCTGCATGTTGAGCACGTATTCCAGAGGTCTGAGGTTCGATTCCTGGCGAAGGCATTGCTCATTTTTCATCTTGCCTACTTCCCAAAAATCGTCTCTACAAGCTTTCATTATGCATCTCGGCTAACAATATCAGCTTTGACTAGTTTAGCTTAATCATGTTGACACCTCCTAGTTCTGTTTTGTGTAAAAATGAAAACGACAAAATTAGTTAAGTTGGTTGGTATAATTTCTGGTGCAGAAACCAAAAATTATTTTACTGTGCAAGAACACAAATTATATTAATTCTAAGTAGTTAAACCACATAATTAAAAAAACAACAAACTGATGATTACAAAAATATGCTAAGATGATTACATGATTAAAACTCAGCAAATTACTACAAATATAAAACCAGGTCAAGCAAAAAAAAAAACATGGTATCCGATAAAGATATATTAAAATACACAATAGCCCTTATTAAATCAAATTGAATAATAATAACCCATCTCTTTCAGATACTTAAATACATTGGGAATGATCTCTTTCCCAATTAAATGGGCAAGATGCAAGTCATAGACATTAAAATACTTTAAATAAAGCCTCCAGAAATATGGACAATCAGTCAGGATGTGACAAACAGAATGTTGAACATTGGAATTTAAACACAAATGTTCACTCTCGGCTTTCAGAAGAAATGATGAGTAGCTCCAGAATAACTAATTCTAAGGTGAGTTAAAATCATTCTTCTTTCTGCTTTTAGTGGCCTCCCAATACTCCACTTCAGGTTTTATTCTTCTCAATTTATTATTTACCTGCATATACCAGAGTAGCTGCTATTCATTAATAAGTTTGTTGTTGTTGGTAGTTTTAGCATCCCTTAGTGGAACAGGTTGACTTAAATGTTTCCACAGCAGACTTTGCTGTGATGTCTGCTAGCTCG